CAACGATTGGAGGACCCTTTCTCAGTTCTCCTGGAGGATGTATGTACTTCACTGACACGATAAACGTGAAGGAGTAATCCGAGAGGAGAGAATGAGTTTCAGCCTAGGGAAAAGATAAAGAGGCCCGTCAGGGTTATGACAGGAGTCAGGCCACAGGGACCACTGAACCGCCGCTTTGAGACGTAGGAGCTCAGACTACATCAGTGTTAAAGGAAAATTGTTTGCAAGAGAGTAGAGAACAAACTTCATGGGTGAGCTGATGTGTTAAGAGTGTAATAAGAAGAAGAGATCTGCCGTACTCTGGGAGACTGAGGCAGGAGGATCATAAGTTCAGTCCAGGCTGGGCAGCTTAGTGATTTAATAAGACTCTGTCTCAAAATAAAAAGTAAATAAAAGTGTCGGGGATGTAGTCCAGTGTGAAGGCTTGTGTTTAATCCCAAGTACGGGTGGGGGTGGGGAGATCTATGCTTCTGTTGTGTGGAGTTACCTAAATCAGTGGTAAATACACAGAAAAAAGGAATAGGGAAAACAAAGCTGTTACTAGCGTTAGGTAAAGCAGGAAGTTGTATGGGGACCACAGCCGTGGTTTAGCGCCCATTGACAGTTACGCAGTTGTAGTGTTACATCGTGACGACATATTGATACATCAAATAGAACAGTGTAGATCGCGAAGGCTGCATAAAAAAACAAAACACAACCGAGTACAGTGGTACGCGACCGTAACGCCGTCGCTGTGGGAGGCTGAGGGAGGAGGATCACGTGTTTGGAGCCAAGGCTGGGTGACCTAGCAAGGCCCTGCCCGCCCACCCGGTCACCCATCTACTCATCCGCTCATCCGTCCCTCCATAAAGAAAGCAAGTGGGGTTAGCTCAGTGAGAGCATGGGTTCCGACACCACGCACACGGGACAATAGAGCTGAAACAGAAGAGACACTCTCACAAACAGTTATTTCTGTATTTCTTAGAATGTATAAAGACATTATTAAGTAGTAAAATATTAGTAGAAACAAAGGGAGTGAATAGTTCCGTAGTTTCTGTTTGTGCTGCATGCCTAGAAGTGCTGCTTGCTTACAGCATGTACGTGCATTACCTTCATAAAGATTAAATGAAGACACACCGCTACTTAGCATTGGTAAGATGGACTTTTGAAATTATATCGAGGTGACCATGATTTAGAGAAATCGATCAGTATTGAATGTTCTAGAGACTGTCATTGGAACCACTCAGTATGGCCAGAAAACTTAACAGTGCTTTTCTTAGAGGACGTTTTGCCTAATGACACTTTCTGGAGATAGCTTTCCAAGTGAAAGCGCGCTGAATAAACAGTGACACCCACGGAGTATTAGCAAAACAGCCTGCGCCTTAGGGCATAGAAGACACTGTAGGTGCAGCGCAGTAATTCTGGGAATGCAGCTGGGTACCTACCACGCATTTTTACCCGGGATACTTAGGGAAGTTTGAAAATCATTACGTTCTCTTTTAGGTAAATATTAAAGGGGTATAATGCTAAGTTCGTTCCTGAAACTTAGTCCTCTCCATGGCTCCCTCCCAGCACCTAACTTCTGTTTGTTACAGCACTTAGGGTGGGGTGTTTGTGAAGGACAGATACACCTGTACACCAAACAGCCGTTGTGTAGTAATTTAGAAGGAAATTGGTATGCTGCTACGTAGAACGTACGCTGTGGTCAAGTGGACTAACAAGAGCACACAAAAAGGCACGTGCTCACACGATAGCAGGGAAAGGCTTCCTGGTCGGTGTGATTTATTTTGGAGAGGGTTAGTGCATTTTTTGTGAAGCAAACAAAGCTAAAGGCTAAAAAAAATTAGTCATTAGCACTAAGCATTTTCCAGAATGGCGAGGAGGGTAACAGTGACAGCAGCAGCAACGGTTTGTTGTGGACCGTGTATAGGTCGGGTTGTTTACTGATAGAGACTTGATGATAGAGGACAGGCTAAGAGCAGTCATCTGTAAAGACGCTGATAGTTTTTGTAGTTAGTCTGAATCTTTCTGATGTGGAAGCGTTCATAGGAATTAATCTCCAGATGAAACAAACAACAACAGAAGTCGTAGTGCAGCCAGCAACATCACTGTAAGAAAAAGGTAGTCTTTTTTTGCCCCCTTCAGTTGAGTATGGTTGACAAAAGCATGTGTATTTAAGGTGGTGTTTTGACGTACGTATGCATTGTGAAGTGATTACTACAATCAAGCTAATTAACGTATCCGTCAGCTCACGCACTTACAGCAATTCTTAATGTCCTGCACTTACAAACATTTCGTGTAGCACAAGGTAAAAACACTCTTAAAAGGACAAATGTGCTCAGCATCTCATTCCCAGACACAGGTTGAAATAGTCACATGAACAGCGTTCCAGATGATTTCTTGATATCTCTGTACATTAATGCATTTTTGAAAATAAAAAATGAGCAGTGTTGTATGTACTGTTTGGTAACCTGCTGTTTCACTTGGAGTGTACTGGACACCTTTTCACCTCAGTAAATTCATGTCACCATCGTGATTTCCTGATGATGTCATTAATAGCCTTAGCCCATCTCTCCTGTTACGTTCACTTACGCCCTGACACGGCTCACTCTTACTCCCATCCTCCTGTCTGATAGTAGTCTCCTTCTGTGTTCATGCCGTCTCTGATCCCACATACTAGGGGAAACGTGTGATCACAGTTTCTTCATCTGTTCTGTCGATGGACACTTAACACTGGTTCCATATCTTGGCTGTTACGAATGATGCCGTAATCATGAGTGTGCTGGTAAGCCTGTAGAATGCTGACTTTAACTCCACCAAGGGGTGGTGTCGCTGGGCCGTATGGCAGCTGTACTGTTGGTGGTTTCCATGATGGCCGTGCTCACGTTACTGCCTGCATTGTGGGGGCTTTCTGTCTCCCCGCACCCTGAGCAGCATTTATTGTTTTTCATATTCTTGATAGCAGCCGTTCTGATACTGGTGAGACGGGATTTCGGTGTAGTTTTGATTTGCATTTTTCTAATGACTAAAGATGGGCATTTTGTCATACCCTTATTGGCCATTTGTACTTCTTTTGGGGATGTCATTTACCCATGTAGTGTTTGGGCTACTCGTGGTGCGTGTGTGTGTGCGCGTGCGTAGGTGTTGAGTTCTTTGTATAGTCAGGTACTAGTCCTCTGTCAGAAGAGTAGCTGGGAAGGATTTTCTTCCATTCTTTAGGCTCCCCCTTCAGCCTGTTGTTTCCTTTTGCTGTGTGGAGACTGTAATGGGATGCCCCGTTTGCTGACTCTTGCTATTACTTCCTGTGTTATTGGAGTGCTGTTGAGGAAGTCTTCGCCTGTGCCAGTGGCTTCAGGTGTTTCCCATTTTCTTCTGGTAGTTTCAGTTTCAGGTCTTATACTTAGGTTTTTGATGCATTTTGAAGTGATTTTTGTACAGAGTGAGTGAGCTAGGATTCTAGATTAAATCTTCTATAGCCAGATACCCATATTCCCAGCATCATTTGTTAAAGAAGTTGTCTTTCTCCAGGGTGTGTTTTGGCGTCTTTGTCAAGAATCAGGTGACTGTAGTCGTGTGGGTTTCTTTCTTTGTCCTGTGTTATATTTCATTGCTCTATCTGTCTGTTCCTGTGTCAGTACCATGCTGCTTTTGTTACTGTGAGGGTTTTTCATACAATGTGAAATCCAGTGTAGTGATTCCTCTAGTCTTGGTCTTCTTACTTAGATTGCTTTGGCTATTTTGGGTCTTTCATGCTTTCGTTTGGATTTTACGCATTTTTTTTGTCGTTGTATAAAGACCCACTGGAATTTTGATGTGGATGACATTGAATCTGTAGATTTCTGTGGATAGTAGGAGCAGATTAACTATTAATTCTTCTGATCTATGAACATGGGAGGTCTTCCTATCTTGTGTTCCTCAGGTTCTTCAGTTTTTTGTAAATTTCACTGTAGAGGACTTTCACTTCTTGGTTAGGCTGTTACCTAGATTGATTGATTGATTGGCTGACTGGGAAAGATTTTTGTCTTTTGAGATAGGGTCTCATTAGGAGAATGGAACTCACTGTGTTGTCCAGGCTGGCCTCAAACTCACAGCGATCTTCCTGCCTCAGCCTCCTGTGTGCTGAGATTACAGGTGTGCGCCACCATGCCCGGTTTATCAGGATAACTTTTTAAAACTTGTGAATGGAATTGTTTCCTTGGATTTCTTTCTCAGCTAATTCATTATTGGTGAATGGAAAAGCTATTGAGCTGTTTTTTGTTTTTTTTTGTTTTTTGTTTTTTTTTCCTTAAAGGAAGTAGAGGTTTATTTAGCTCACATTTGGTGGAGGTTTCAGTCAGTCATCAGCTGGCTCCAAAGCAGGGTGGTGTGGCAGAGAGGGAACAGTTCATGGTGGTGGGAGACAGCAAAAACAAGGATGAAAGGGCAAAAAGCTATTGAGTTTTGAATGTTGATTGCATGTCCTGAAAAGCTGTTTCAGTAAACACTTCTATTTTATTTTATTTTATTTTATTTTATTTTATTTTATTTTTTTAAGCACTTTTATTTTAAAAAGAAGTGGAATACTTACTTGAAGTGGGTACCAGGGCTAAATTAACTAATGGTTCAAAAGGGCTGGTGGCCTCAGTTCCCACTGCCCGGCTCCTGTCTTAGAAAAGCCAACAATACCAATTTTTTAGATAACCAAAAAAATATTAAGTATATCATTGACACTAAAGAGTGTGATGATTTGTATATATATGCCTTTTGTTATGAGATACTTTAAGTTTTCATAAGGTGGCAGAAAATGTTAAGTAGAATTTTAATAGTCGTATGCTTTGAGCAGAGCAGTTTTTATTGTTGACTTTTGTATTTTTCTCATCTTCATGGCTTAACAAGATAAGATGACATTAGCATTTGAGAAAATTGTATAAGTACAAGTCTTTTCTGTGTATTTTAACTTGCTTTTACCAATATCAAAGGTTTACAACCTTTTAAAATAAAAATCAAGGCAAAGTAACCAAGTCCTTTGTGTTTTTGTACAGGAAACTCTTCATACAATAAAATGGGAGGGAAGAAAAATGCAGCAATAAAGATAGATAAGGTTTGTTGAAATAAATTCTTTTTAATAGGTAATAACACTTTATGGTTACATAGCACATAACCCCAGTGCCTCAGGTATATGCAAATACTTAAATATAACTGCTATGGAAGTATGTTTGTTTCCTGTTTCACTAACTACTTCTTACATTTCTAGCCTCGAAGATCAAATCAGTGCATGAGTTACTGCTTCAGAAATTTTTTCTCCGATATATTTTCTTCCGGTAGCCACAGTGGAGAATCTTCCTTCACCTATAGAGCTTACTGGTTAGTATTTTCTACTTTTAATGTATGCTCTTTATACTTGATAAATCATCATAATTAACTTTTGGTAGAAATTTAAACTCTGGGCTCAATTAAAAATCATGAAAGTTCATCTTTTTTTTTCTTTTCCTTTTGGAAAATGAACTAGCTCTAGCAAAGAGAAATCTTGTTTTGTGAGCCTCTCCGTTGTCCCGTAACAGTGAGTTTGCCGTGGTAACGCTGTTCTGGGCAGTCCTGCTGTGTGGCGGGAGGGGCTGGCTGTCCACCCGGCTGTGGGCGTAGTGCCTGATAAAGCGAGCGCGTTCCGAGCAGGTCCCTTCATCTTGGACTCCGTAGTGACCGGCAGCAGATGCCCAGTAGATATTTGTGGAATTTAAAGATTAAGTTTGGGTTGGCAAATCAACATGGTAGAATAAGATTGTGTGGTTTAATTTCACAGCTTGGCAAAGTACCAAAGAAACAATTACATCTGAGCAATCTTTTAAAAAGCTGAATTGTATCCATTTTTGGTTGTAATAACCGTACCCTGCTTTGTTTCCTTCATTTGTTTTATGTGCTAAAAGGGAAACTGTTGTACTTAGGATTTCTCTCATTAATGCAGTTACTGGTCTGAATTGACTCTTTCAAAATTCTGTCATTTAATGATAGAAATTTAAGCATGATTTTTAGGATTTAGGTAAGTGTAATTTTTTATTTATGGTATAAAATTGTACCTGTGTTAAGGAGTTTATATGAAAGTGTTTAAACAGTAGAAAATTCTTATTTTCATAACTATGATCCATAATACTGTATATGAGAACTGCTGCTATTCTTGAGATGATCCAGTTCTTACTCTGAACCTTCAATTTGTGGGATTCCGATGGTTTAAATCGCTCTTTCAGTACAGAATTTATAGAAGTCAGTGAAATCGGTGAGTTGATTGGACAGAAGAGACGGGAGCTGGCACTGTCGTGGTCTCCTGACGCGTCACCTGGCATGGGAAGGTGAGAGGGAGGTGCGGGTCGGTGTGCACGTGAGCACGGGCGCCAGCGCTGCAGGGTGCGGCCAGGAAGGGAGCCTTAAGTCTGTCTGTTGGGAGAGTTTCGATGTTTATACGCTAGATCGATGGGAAGGGAAGAGCACCAGGGTGGCGAGATTCAGCACTCAGACCTGTACCTTCTCTTCCTCCGTCCTGGCCTGACCTGTGCGGTCTATTGAAGCATTGTTTCTCCTAGATTTCCTTTTTTTCTAAAATGTTCTTCTGAACGAGTGTTTGACTGAGTGCCTAATGTCCTCTGGCATTCCGACTTTCCGTAGTTCGTTTAGACTTTTCTGTAAGTCCTGAAGCTGCTGGCTCAGTGCCAAATACATCCTGCATATTTAAACAAGCTCCTACGTAAGGATCATGGTCTCTGAGTTTTACATTCATTCCCTGTAACACATTGTCCCTTGTTATCCATCGCTGTAACTCTGTATATGACCTTCACCTCAAGAAGTGATGATTGAGAACCAGGCGTGGTGGTGCATGCCTGTCATCCCCGCACTCGGGAGGCTGAGGCAGGAGGATTGGGAGGCTGAGGCAGAAGGATTGTTGTGAGTTCGAGACCCGCCTGGGCTACAAAGTGAGCTCAAGGTCAGCCTGAGCTGCATAGCGAGACCCTGTCTCAGAAAGACAAAAAAAAGAAATGATGATTGAATTTAAGTAGAAGTAAAATCTGAAACCTTTTCTTACACATCTTTGTATGTGTACGAGTTGCATGTTATTTTAGGCTTATCTCCTCTTATGTTAGAATCTCTCCTGATACTCAGTGAAATAATTTTTTTTTTAAATAACTGTGTTAGGAGACCTGAATTTTAACATTGGTGAATAAGAAAAGGGAGCTTGTTCAGTAGATTTGGTTTAAATGTGGAGAGCTGTGGGGGTGGTCATAACTGGTCCGTAGGGACCCTGGAAACTAAAAGACCATCACCCTCAGATGACGGAGTTAGAGATACAGTGTAGTGATAAAAGCTAATGCCCTGGTTGCCTAGAAAGAAAGGAGTTTGCAAAGGAATATCAGGGAGTTTTCTAGGAGGATAGAAATAAGTGGTTCTAGATAGATTAAAATCATCGAATTAAGTTAACATCTAGGTGTTTTATTTCATTTCACAGTTGATTTTACAGTAGCAAAAAAATAAAATCTAACAGTTGGTAATAAAATATAAACTATTTAAAAAGAAACATTAAATTATTTTTATCTTTCTGCCATTAATTTACAGAAAAATGTGTTTTAAAGGGTTTTTTTCCCCTTATAGTGAATTAGCAGCCATCTTTGGACCACAGATAACCATTATAGTTTTATTAGGCAAAACAGTTTAAGCATTGTAGTTTAAGACTACTAACATGGTTTAGCAAATCAGTGATTTTAAATTACAGTTTAATTTTTAAAAACTAAAAAAATCATGTTCACTTTAAATTTTCAGAATTGGTTTTATACCTTGGAGTGTTGGAGCAGAAGTTCTTCCTCTCATCTCTTCTGTGCTGCCAAGAACTGTTTTTCCAGCAAGTACCTTATCTTTAGAAAATTTTGGTAAAGTTTCTGAAATATTTTTCTATTTTTAAACAAGTATTATTAGTGTCTCCTAATTTCATAGAAATGTGTTGATGACTTAGCAAAGAGAAATGTAGTAGCTCTTAAATATTTGGAAATAATGGAACAGTGATTTGACTTTTTAGTCGTTCCAAGTAGAATACATACTATTCAGCTGTAAAGGAGAAAATTTTGTCATTCATAACAACATGGGTGAACCTGGACATTGTCCTGAGTGAAATAAACCAGGCACAGAAAGATAAATCCTGCATGGTTTCATTCATGTAGGTTCTAAAAAAACGAATTTTTTAGAAGTTGATTCTGGAGTAGTGGTTAGCAGAGCTGGGATGTGCGGGTGGGGTTGGGGGACACTGGTCAGAGGGTGCAGATTTGAGTCAGGAAAGATCCATCCTAGAGACTGGTTGTATAACGTTCTAAGTATACGTACTGTGTTGTAATCTTGAAACACACTGAGTGGACGCAAAGCGTTCTCACCAAAAGTAGCTGTGTAGTAACACATGTGTTCATTAGCTAGATGTAGTCAGCCCGCAGTGTGTATCTGCTTCAAAGCATCATGTTGTGTGTGGTAAATACGTACTTCTTTATCTGTCAGCTTCAGAAGAATCATTCTGATGAGTCCATTTTACAATTTTAAGAAATGACAACTTTAAGACTTGGAAGGACTGACTAGAGGTTTCCTTTCTGTTTGGGGAAATATTGTCTAAACCATAGATCTTTAAAAGTAGTATCTGTTAATTAAGAACCGGTATTCTGAGTCTTATGGCTAACTTGACAGTTTTCTTTTTGCCTAATGAGTAGCATCTCATAAAAAAAAATACCATTTGCCTGATTGAATGTATTTTCATTTTTTTTTCCATATAAAGTTGCCCACATGGATCCAAATGTGGTTATAACTTATTTCAGTAACATTTTAGAAAGTTGTTGCTGCCTTACATTACTCAGATCTTAGTAGCTATGTACTTATAATTTCAAAAGTATATTTTTCATTGTATTACATACTTTTATGTTAAAATTAAATAAAGCCAACCTGTGACCCTTGTGTTTGAAACATACTTTATAGTTTTTGTTTGTTTTTCAACATTATCAGGTACTTCTTGCAAGGGATATGCGTTAGCACATACCCAAGAAGGAGAAGAAAAGAAGCAGACTTCTGGTACTTCAAATACCAGGGGATCAAGACGAAAGCCTGCAGCAACTCCCACAAGGAGATCTACACGTAACACAAAAGCTGAGACAGTCAGCCAGTCTCAGAGATCCTCATCGTCAAATAATGCTGGGTGTGGTGCCCCGGGTAACAGTAACCCTTCTGTGAGTGTTCTATCTCCAGCTGAGTCAGAAAAGCAAACTAAACAGGCTCCAAAACGGAAGTGTGTAAGAAGAGGAAGAAAACCACCCGTATTGAAAAAGAAACTTCGGCGATCTGTACCTCCTCCTGAAAAATCACCTAGTGATTCAGTAGAGGAAGAAATAGTGGACTCTGACGTACCACCTGTGTTAGAAAAAGAGCAAGGATCAGATGTAGAAGAAAGTAGTCACATTTGTTCTGTTCAGACGGATACAGAAAACCGTTCTGCTAATTGCTTGAAAAGTTGCAGTGAACAAATGGAAGAAAATGAGGAATGCAGGGAAAATCATGATGTAGAGCAAAAAGTAGAACCCTCACCTTCCGAGTCTTCCACAGATGCTGCTGTACTAGCTGGAGAGGGGCAGGAAAATAGCAGACTTGAGGCGGTCGCTGCGCAGGCTAGCACACTGAGTTTAGAACATGAAGTTTCTAAAGACACTGCTGGAAAAGGAGGTGATGCGTTAGAAAGTCAAGACCAGACACCAGCGTTTTCAGAGTCAGAGACAGAGGCAGTTACATGTTCAAATCCTCCAAGTGATTTTCTTACGTGCTCGGGATCCGAAGCGGAAGCACAGCCTCCTGCACCCAGTCCCCTAGGTGAGACACCTGAGAATGCAGAATCCGAGCTTGGTGAGCAGAAAGTGGTAGCGAGCCCCGCGGTGGGAATGACTGGTGATCCAGATGCTGCAGTACAAACAGAAGCGCTTACGGAGAGCCCCGAGTTAGAATCTGCCGAGGGGGAAGTGATGCTGACAGTGGACAGGACAACTGTTGAGACCTCAGAGATTCAGCCGCTCGGACATACTAAAGCTGAAGCTGCAGAGGCAGCGGCAGCATGTGAAGCTGCAGAAAAGGAAAATCTTAATACAGCTCAAGACTCTGAAAATAATTTATTAAAAAACTTCAACTCCAAATTGGATACGTCTTTAGAGGAAAACACTGAGTCGCTAGTTGAACCTCCCAGATCTCTAGAGTTGCCTAACACGCACATTGGACAGACTGAGAAGCATTTTAGTGAGGACAACAATGAAATGATACCTATGGAGTGCGACTCGCTTTGTAGTGACCAAAATGAATCCGAAATTGAATCATCTGTAAGTGCTGATTCTAAGCAGTTGATTGAAAATTCTGTGGTACATAGTTCTGAAAATAACGTGCCATCTTCCAGCCCTGTAAATGAAAAGGTTGAAACTGTGTCTCAGACATCTGAAAATCCAGCAGATACAGTAGACAAGTCCAAAAAACCGCGTACTCGAAGGTCTAGATTTCATTCTCCGTCTACAACTTGGTCTCCCAACAAAGACACCGTGCAGGAAAAGAAGCGCTCCCAGTCTCCGTCTCCCAAAAGAGAAACTGGAAAAGAAAGCCAGAAGTCTCGATCCCCATCTCCTAAGAAAGAATCTGCTAGAGGACGGAGGAAATCTCGTTCTCAGTCCCCCAAAAAAGATACGACGAGAGAAAGGAAGTATTCCCAGTCTCGATCTCCAAAAAGAGACAGTACTAAAGAAAGCAAAAGATCCAAATCACCATCGCCAAGAGACACGTGTAGAGAGAACCGAAGATCTCAGTCCAAGCTGAAAGACACATCGTCCAGAGAAAGATCTAGGTCCCAGAGCAGAGAGAGAGGAAGCGAGAGAGAGGGGCAGAGGAGAGACCGAGACGGGGACCGGAGAGCCAGAAGGCGGTCCCGCTCCAGGTCCCGCTCCAGGTCACCGTCGAGGTCGCGAACAAAGAGTAAGAGTTCGTCGTTCGGTAGAAATGAAAGAGACAGTTACTCTCCGCGGTGGAAGGAAAGGTGGACAAGTGATGGCTGGAGATGTCCACGAGGAAACGATCGGTACAGAAGGACTGACCCAGAGAAACAGAATGAGAATGTAAGAAAAGAGAAAAATGACATCATTCCAGATGCTAACGATCCAGGTTCTGCCGACAAACATAGAAATGACTGTCCCAGTTGGGTAACAGAGAAAATAAATTCCGGTCCCGATCCAAGGACCAGAAACCCTGAAAAGTTAAAAGATCTCCACTGGGAAGAAAACAGAAATGAAGATTCAGGGAATTCTTGGAGCAAAAACTTGGGCTCGGGGTGGATGTCTCACCGCGGCAGAGGGAGCCGTGGCAGGGGCGCCCACCGGGGCGGTCTTGCCTGTGCAGATCAGAGTGAAAATAGGTGGCAGCACCGAAAGCCCCCCTCAGGGAATCCAGACGGTTCAGGGAGTGATGCTCTCAAGTTTGCGGAACAGCAGCCCTATAAACAGAAAAGCGAGCAAGAGTTCTCATTTGATACCCCGGCAGACCGGTCGGGGTGGACGTCTGCGTCCAGCTGGGCCGTGAGGAGGACGCTGCCTGCGGACGTGCAGAACTACTACTCGCGGCGGGGGAGGAGCTCTTCAGGCCAGCAGTCTGGGTGGATGAGACAAGAAGAGCCCGCGGAACCGGGTAACGTTCTGCTTATCGGTGCCGCTTTCCTTAGACGTTACACACACACCCTGCTTGTATGAGTCGTGGTCCCTGCTGGCGGCTTTTATAATGTTACAGAACCCGTGTTTGCACATCGCTTTGCTTCGTACATACACGGCCTGTGTTTGTCAGTATGTACTATTTTCTTACCCCACTCCAAATTCTGCCAGAAGTGAAATACTTTCTGTACTGTTTGCAGAAATGGAAGAGTTTGAGATTTTCTTACGTGGTATTTAACATATATTTCAGGTGTGCACACTTGAATTTTTGTTGGTCATTGTTCTCATACAAATAAGTTACTCTTTTAGTTACCTTTCCTTGATAAGAACATCACAAGAAACTGAGGCCCATCTCAGAACGGTGGGGTTGGAGAGAGGATACTTTCCTAGCACTGTAAGGCTCTGGGTTCAGTCTCCAGTACTGCAGAAACGAACAGCAGGGCAAGAAAAACAGGTACTGAAAATATTAGAAAAATACTGGAAAAAAATATTGATCATACATATATTTTGTAACCAGTTACAATGTATGATTTTTTACAACTGGTAAGCTTTTGATGCTGGGCGTGGTGGTGTACGCCTGTAATCCCAGCACTCGGGAGGCGGAGGATTGATGCAAGTTTGAGACCAGCCTGGGCTACAAAGTGAGCTCAAAGCCAGCCTGAACTGCATAGTGAGACCCTGTCTCAAAAAGAAGAAAAAAAAGTTTTTGAATTACCTGTTTGCAAATGGTGTTACGAATTTACTCTTGAAAATGTTAAATATTTTTAGTTAGAATATGTCTACTCTGGGTTGTTTTTTTTTGGTACCGGGAATTGAACTCATGACCTTGTGCTCGCCAGGCTGGTGCTGTGCTGCCGAATTATATTCCTGGCCCTGCATTATTTAGATGAGCAGATTAAGTAATTGGAGATTGGTTTTGCTGTACTGAGTCTATTAATTGCTCTTTAATTTTATTATAGTGAATGGTTTTTTGCTTTGTCGTTTAGAGATTTGTAACATGATTTTTTTATAAGCTTTTTTTCTTTCGATAGATTCTAACCTAAAAGACCAAACAAACCAACAGATTGATGGTTCCCAGCTACCTGTAAATATGATGCCACCGCAGGTGAACATGATTCCACAACACATGAACGCCCAGCACCAGCCGATGAACATCTTCCCGTACCCAGTGGGTGTTCACGCCCCTCTGATGAACACCCAGCGCCATCCCTACAGCCTTCCCCCACAGCTGCCCCTGCACCTGCCCCCAGGAGTGCCCCTCGTGCAAGTAGCTGCCCCGCCCACTGTGACTCAGGGACTGCCCCCGCCCCCGCCCCCGCCCCCGCCCTCCCAGCAGGTCAGCTACGCGGCCTCACAGCCCGACGGAAAGCTCGTGCCGGTGAGTTTGACCAGTGTAATGACAGACTTGAAGCTGTTGGGGCAAATGTCCCAGACAGGGCTCCCTGGCACCCAGAAGTAGTTGGGTACATTCATGGTAAACCTTCATAATCCCTTTTTCATTACCTTTTTCCCGTCCTTACCCTGGCCTCTATGCAAGAACATCGAGTATATATTTACAAAATGCAGTCTACGCATGTAACATTATTCACATCCAAACGTATTTTGTCAGATTAAGAAGACCACATTCTTAATCCAAGTGTGGCGGCACATGCCTATAATTCTAGCGCTCAGGAGGCTGAGGCAGGAGGATCTCAAGTTCGAGGCCAGCCTGGGCCTGCATAGTGAGACCCTGTCTCAACAAGTAAAAACAAAACTTTCAAAGAAAAACTAAAAATTAGACCAAATTACAAGTCAGACCAAAACTGAGTAGAGGATCTTGAAAGCTTTCCCTGGTTTTGCTGGACTTCGGGGCGGTGTGGTGGGAACTAGTGATGAGCTGCTGTGATACGGCTTGCGCTGTCTTGTTTGGGCGAATGCTGCATAGAGCTGTTCCTTGCCCGTTACCATGTATGTTTCATTTTCATGAACCTAACACGCTAAAAAGAAATGCCTGTGTGAGACCAAAAAATCTGAGTAACTTGTAAACACTTACGTTGCTTACAGTTTTTGAATCCTGACAAAATGTATTGCAAGAGCAGGGAAATGGTATTTTAGGATTTGGGTTCTTAACATCTTTAACTGTCAACTCACTGCGAGCCCTGTGATGTCGCTGCCTCATTTTCTTCTGCCTTTAGGGTAGGGCACTTAAACTGTGGTTAACGTTTGCGGAGTCCTGCAGAGGAGAGAGAACTTCAAACAGGACTTTCGGTGCTGTTTTTCTCCTCTTTTTGCTGTTAGTATTTGTTGAAGAACATTATAGTACACACAATTCTACTGTTTTTAAAGAGAGTAGTAAGAGAAAAAAAAACAGAACAATAGCAGCATACCAACAGCAATGCACATAATTTAAAACCATCTTACTGATGTGTTCAAGTGAGGTTCTGTTCCAGAATGTTACTTTCTTTTCTTCAGAGAACTCTTTATATATAAATGAACTGATACGTACAGCTGCGTCTCTCTTAAACACTAACATTGAATGATACTGTGTTTTGTTATTTCTAGTACACGACTAAAAGACTGCTGTTCAGTAGAAGTTACTCATTAACTCACAATAACTCTTTAAAACAGGGTATTCCTAATGCTCCCCACGTGAGTAATAACACGAGTACATCAGTCTCGCCCGCTCCGACAGCAGCGCCAGGAAACCCGGGAACGGTTCAGGGACCAAGTTCTGGTAACACTTCGTCATCCAGTCACAGCAGAGCCTCTAATGCTGCTGTAAAATTGGCAGAAAGCAAAGTAAGTGTCACGGTGGAAGCCAGCGCAGATAGCTCGAAGACAGACAAGGCAAGTTCGAGGTTGGCAGCAGCCTGCGTGTCTACGTAATTCTGTATGCGGTAAAGATGATGAAACGGCAGCTTTCTTTATGAGTGGCGAGGGGAATTCATTACTGGTAACGTTAAATTCCAGTATTACTTAGAGTTCAGTCTAAGTCTGTTGATGCCCACTGAGTTCCTGGTAATACTGCATAATTTTAAAAACATTTTATTAATGTATTAGTAACGCTTTTGTAATTGTCATATTACCAGCAGTATGTGAAGAGCTCCTTGTAATGTTAATACAATATTTTGAATTCTGTATTTTTAAAGAAATTTTTAAAAGTACGTGGTGAATAATTACACATTTTCTTCTCATCAGAAATTACAAATTCAAGAAAAAGCAGCACAGGAGGTAAAACTGGCGATTAAGCCATTTTACCAAAACAAAGACATCACCAAGGAAGAGTACAAGGAGATCGTACGGAAGGCGGTGGACAAAGTGAGTCGCAGCTCTGGTGGGGTGGCGTGGGTGCTGTCGTCAGACGTTGCTGTTTTAATAAGTGTTTAGGTTTACTTAATAAAATCTAGCTCCTCCTAATTGTCTGCTTTTTTACCATGTAAATAAGCTCATGTAAGATACGTAGCATGAATAGGTCTGGCTCTCCCTTTGCATTCTTTTTTTTTTTACAAAGTTTTCTGTTCTGCTTTAATCCTTCTAAGCATGAGAAAAGTTAAGCTCGCTTTTTTCTTAGGTTTGTCATAGTAAGAGTGGAGAAGTAAATCCCACTAAAGTGGCGAACCTGGTGAAAGCCTACGTGGACAAGTACAAGCACGCTCGGAAGGGGGGCCAGAAGAAGGCCGCGGAGGAGCCCGTGCCCGCGGAGCACAGCGTGGGCTGAGGGGCGGGCGCTTGGGGACGCCGCCGAGACGCCGCCAAGTGCAATTCCAGCGTGTTCCGGGACGAGAATGCCTGCGTGACTGTGACTGAAATTGGTTTTGACAAAATTATTTTTTTTAATGTAGGATATGATGTTTTGTTCTAAATAAATATAGTTCTGCACTGCAACTTCTTTATCCACACCCTCACCTCAAATAAATTAATTCAAGGGCAAGTAAATGGTTCAAAGGAACATGCATTTTTAGGAGGGTGTACCAGTGTGGATACTGGAAGATGTACAGCTTTTTGGTTGGACTGTTGGATTGTAACAATGGAGTGCATAAATTAGAAACTTGTAAGTGCACCGGTTTTGGGAGAGGCATATGTATAATACATTTATTCTGTCAGACTAAGAAATAAAGTATGAACTTTATAACCTTCCCCCTCTAATTATAGAAAGTTAAAATGTATTACCATGAAAATGTTTCTAATAAATAGAACCTACCCAGTGGCAGGGCTCCTCATGTGTATTTTTAAAGCACATATCTGCTTAGATAGAAAACAAATTATCACATGAGTAAAATTTAGTGTTCAAAACTTTGAGAACTCTTTACTTATGTATCACCAAATAAAAGTTATGCTGCTGTTTTTCTTTTGTGCCTTTTTTCCCCCCAGTTGAGACAAAGCAGTTTGATTCGCTAGACTACAACTTGGGCAGCTTAAAGTCATTGAATTTGGAAGGCAACTTTGGAAAAGTTTTGGCTCTGTAGAAGTTACGCTCTTTCATCATGTCTGCTACCCTAAGACGGTGAGGTTTTGGTGCCACGTGGAGGAGTGGTGCTAACAGGACCCCTGCTTTGGGACTGAGGTGGAGGTGACGCCGCCCACTTTGCGGGGTCAGCTCGTCGCTCATCTGGCCAGGCGGTCACTGACGAAGTGTGTGCGTGTGACGGTCCCCGGACACTGTAGAGCAGATGCGTCGTTCGTGTGGTGACCGTCATGGCCGCTGGGCATGTTGTGAGTTTGGAGATACGGGAACCTGTGTTCGATAAAGGGAGAGGAGAACGAAGGGATGGAGTTTTGATGAGGCTTTGAAGGACTAGGGGTTTGGTTACTTTTTTAAAGAACTATAACCTATTAATTTTTATAAAAGGTAAGTTTAGAATGTTTATAGCACCGTTACTTTAATTGCCATCTTGAAAGACAAATTAGTTCTTTCCATGATACACTCTTTTACCCCAGGAACCATTTTCACTAGATACCAGATAACTGGAGTGGTATTCAGATAAAATGTTAGTGGGTCCAGCCGAGGTAAACAAGTACAACGTGGTGATGCAGATCCTTTTTACTAGCTAAACTCGTTAGAGCAATAATCAGTAGGACTGTGCTTTTCTAAAGCTGGTGGTGATCCCTTTCTCAGTTTTTTGTGCATAATACTTTCCTGGTGCTAGGTTTGATAGACAAACTCTTCTGAAGTGTTGGACCCCATAGTGATTGTGCTTTGTTAGGTAATAAGCGTGTTAGGTTATGATTAGGATCCTAAAAAATTCCCAAGCAGTTTTTGATCTTCATTCTACATTTTTGGGCATTTGTAATACGGTATTTTACTGATAAATATATATATATATTTTTAATTAAAGTTTGTGTTCAGATTATGGGGAAAGTTTTAGAAGTATATTTGTTCTAATAAGTATTGAGACACTTTGAAATAGCAGTGCACACCTCCGCAGTTGTTTCAGTTCTCCATAAAGTGGTGTGAACTCCGTTCTATTTTGAATTGAAGCTGATTCACACTTTGAAATTTTGTGGCAAATAGCTGTGCCTGAGCTGATCAATCACACAATTCATGCTTTTCCTGAATCATCTTTTGGTGACATTTGGGAATTGAGTGACTTTTAAAAATCTATTACCATTCAGCTTTTGCAGAGAAGTTTCAAAGTTTTGAATACAAGCTAGGTGGGGTGAAGTTACAAGCCCCATGAATCAGGTTCATCGTTCTCGAAAGTAACAGCTGTGTCCGTGTCTGCTGGGTGCACCGGTTAGACTGCACTGGAAAGTGTTCATGATGGACAGTGTCACTGGATTAGAACTTAGCTTTTGAACTTTGAAATGTGGAAGAATGAGCTAGAAAGTGCATGCTTGATGTTTCACATCCATGCTTCAAACTGGCCGCTGCTGCGCGCGCCCGCCCCGGACACGGTTTGCGTGCGCGCAGACCGCGTCACCCAGGCTGTGGCGCTGCGGGTGGCTTTTCTGAAGTCAGGATTTAGAATCGGCCTTGGCACCTGGGGCCCTTTTTACTTACTAGTCACGCTGACGGATGTTTCAGAGTGTAGAAGTACCTAGAATTTGGAGACTAACAGCAGTGACCCCTTATTTTACCGTTCCGAGAGTGCTGTTCTTAGTTCTGCGTTAGCTTCCTTCCCGCGGCGGCAGTGCCGCTGCTGCAGCGCTCCCCGAAAGGCGGCGCTTCCGAAGCTCTGGCTGCCGCGGGTCTGAGACGCTCTAGTGAGAGGCTGGAGTGCTGCCTGCTGAGACGTACCTTAGACGTGTAGTGCGTAATGTTTTCTAATAAATTCTTCCGATGAACAAAGTAGCGTCTAATATTGTATTACTCAGCTTCCTGGGAAATGACTTCCACTTGTCCCACAACCCCTCAGAACGTGTTCGTATATTTCAGTCACTGGCACCCCACTGACATCCGTGTCCGGGTTCTGATCCAAGCTTAGCGTTAGCTATACTCGTATTTTAAAAATTAGTATGTTTTGCTAAGTATGTCACCATTGTAGGAACTGAGAAAAACTGACCACTGGAGGGAAGAGACTGAAAAGAGAAGTCCCAGCTTCCCAGCGCTACCTGTGTAGCTGGTCAGATGGCACGTAACTGGCCTTTTAGTGATGTGTTGAGAATTTCTCATTTTAATTCTACAGAACAGCTTCCTGGCCGTGTTCTGTTACGCAGTTGCACTGGTGAAGTGATGGTGTGCTGTTGGTACTAAGTCCCCAGAGACCCGGCTTCCGCGGGCGTGCGGGTGCCGGGCGTGCCCCCCTCGGGCTGCGCTCCCCGCGGTCCGTGCCTGCGGGCGGGTGCTGGCCCAGCCCTCCTCCGCCTCCCAGCACGCTCGTGTTTACTGGTCCAAGGCGTTAAACCTTGCATTGCTGCGGGGCCGGGGCGCACGCCTGTAATCCCAGCGCTCCGAAAGCTGAGACAGGAGGGTCCCTGCAGTGCAGGCAGCCGGGACGACATCGCGAGACCCTGTGTCCAGAAAAGGCCGTTTTCACCGTGCGCTGCGCGCCGCTGCCCGGTGCCGCGCGGCCGCCCTCGGTGTGTCGCCTGGTGCCGAGGTCCCCGTGTGCCGCTTCCAAGCGCCGGAGCAGCT